AATCTATGCAGAAATAGAAGTATAATGATGTACACCTGAAATTTATACAATGTTATAAACCAATGTTACTGCAATAAACAAAATATTAAAATAAATAAATTAATTAATTAAAAAAACTGGGGTGGACAACTTTGAAGGGCAGAAGACTTGAATCAGTCTATTTTTAAATCTCCACTCCCTCCACCTGACTCCAGGTCAACCTCATCTCACCTAGACAATTGTAAGAGCCCCCAACTGGCATCCCTGGTCCCATTTTTGCCCCCATCCAATCTTTTGATTATATCATTTCATTTCCTTTTTCAAAACTCTTCAACAGCTCTCATTTATGCAATGCCATGTATTGGGTACTGACCTATGTGCATGGGTGCTGGAGATATGTGGTGGACAAAACAGACAATTCTGCTCTGACAGAACCTACTTTATGTTAACAAGAACAGGAGACAGATAATAAATGAATACACACGACATAATACCAGGAAGTGATAAATACAACAAAGAAAATCAAAGCAGAGGAGGGAGATAGTAAAAGGAAAGTGCTACTTTAGACATAGTAGCCACGGAAAGGCTCTTTGGGGAAAACAGAGACCTGAAGAAGTGAGGGAAGGAGCCATGTGACTATCAGGGTAATGCACTACAGGCAGAGGGAAGAGCCAGTGCAGACTCCCGGGGTGGAGTGTGCTTGGCTTGGTACTTCCAAGTAACAGCATGTGGATCTGTGTTTCTAGAGCAGAGTGAACAAGGGAAAGGTTGGCAGATGATGAGCTGGAGAGCTAATCTTGGACTAGATCATCTAGGGCCTTGCGGACAATGGAAAGGACTAGATTTTATTTTTGGAAAAAACACTGGAGAGTTTTTAGCAGGGCAGTGACATCATCAGATTTGCTTTTTCAAAGAATCATTTTGGCTATTGGTGGAAGTTTTGCTAAAGGAAGACAACAGTGGAAGCAGAGAGACTGTAAAAGCACTATTATGTAACCCAGGTGAGAAATGATGGTGGCTGATACTGAGATAATATCACAGGATGTATGAGAAGTATTGGGATTCAGATATATTTTGAAGTCACTGCTGGCCTTCTTATGGCTTGAATTTGGAATGATGAGAAAAAGAGAATCATTAAGGCTGATGTCAACAATTCTGGCTTAAATGAGGTTGAAGCATGTGCATGGAGCTACACATGTGTGGTGAAGGGTGAGCAGCTGATTTGGGAAGGGAGGTGAGAAATCACTGTTCAGTTCTAGATACATTAAGCTTGAGATGTCTGTTAGCCATCTAAGCACAGATAGCAGGTAGGCAGTTGAGTATGAGTCTGTAGTTTGAGGAGAGTTTGGGACAGAATAAAAACATTTGAAAATGAGAGGTATATTTGAAGTCATGGGACTAAATGAGATCATTTTAGCAAATGAATATAGGAGGAGAAGCAAGCCAATGACTGAGCCCTGGGGCACACCAGTGTTTACAGTTTGGGTAGAGGTGACTCCAGCAATGGAGATAAATCACAAGAAACCATCCACAAACTTTCCCCACCACTCCTAATCTACTTGCATCTGCATCAACATCTTTCCCCCTTGTTGTCACATGAACTGTCAGTGCTCCTGTCCAAAGCCACCAATTCACTTACACATGGACTCCCATTCCTTCTCCTGTCCTCTAGGACATCACTCCGGTGATTGTCTCTTCTCCATTTTGCAAATTCAAATTTCATTTCTTTACCAGACCAGACCCTTTCCATCAGGATACAAATATCATTCTTAAAAAATAATAAAAGTAATAAAAAATACAAAGGAAAAGCTCCTTTCCCCCCTACCTCTCTCCAGCTATTGTCCATTTTATGATCTCCTCTAAAGCAACACTCTTCAAAACAGCTGACTGAAGTTGCTACCATTAACTCTTCTATTCTCTCTTGAACCTACTCCAATCTGATCTCAAAACTCCACCAAAACCTCCTCCAAAAACCTCCTCCCAAAACCTCCACATTGCCAAATCCAAAAGACAGTGCTCAGCAGCATTTAAATTGCTGATCACATCTTCCTTCTTGAAATAATTGTTTCACATAGCTTCTGGAACATGACTGTTCCCTTTCCTATCTCACTAGCTGTTTCTTCTTGGACTCCTGTTATTCGTTCAACAAGTATTTAGTGCCTACTATGTGCCTACATTGTTCTTACTACTAGAGATACGGCAGTGAACAAGCCAGAGCCCTTGTTGTCACGGAGCATAGCACATTCTAGTAAGTGGAGACAAAATATGGTGTTCTGGAGGCCAGATGAAGACAATGTTTAAGAAGGAGGAGGTGATCAGCTGCACAAGTGATGCTAGGAGATCAAGTGAGATGAGGACTGTGAATTGACTAATGGATTTGGCAATTAGGGGTTTGATGGTAACCCTGACATCATGAGTTTTAGTGGAGGCATAAAACAAAACTCTGTTTGGAGTGGATTCCACATAAAATGGCGGACGAGGAAGAAGCTGTAGCAAGTGTTTTCAACTCCTTTCAAGACATTTTGAAATGTCTTTCTCTTTCTTTTCTCTGAAACATTTCCTTGCATACTTCATTTCTCAGGTCTCAGCTTAGATGTCATTCCTCAGCAAAGTATTCTCTGACCACTGAATCTAAATTGTTCCTCCTCTGTCATTTTCTCTCATGAGTCTATCTTATTTTCCGCCCCTGCACTATCATGTTTATAATTACGGACTTTAGTGTTTGAAATTTACTTATCTGTCCCACTATTCTTCAAGTTCATTAAGGCTGTTTTAAGCCCTTCAAAATGAATGCTTAGAGTGTTACTGGCACAATATATTTGTTGTTTGGATGAATTAACGAATGAATAAATGAATCGTTAACCGGCCTTCTTTCTCTGGGGTTGTACTGGATTGTGCCATATCAACTTGGTCGAGATGGAACCACATTTCCCAGAATCTCCTTCCCTTTATGTCTCCAGAGTAGAGCTGGCAAAACAGGAACTTGTGCAAGATTTGGAAAGTAGAAGTAAAGCAATAGGCATTACTCTCAGAAGATCTTGCAGTCAAATATGTGGAGAACAGATTCAGAAGGGCCCAAGGGATTCCACTTGTCATTTCTCTTCTCCATTCTTTATCTAGCTCTTCTTTCTGACTATTAGACCTGACTCCTAGGTTCAAAATCAGATTTTTTTGTTATAAGTTCTAATTCTGTAATAAATTCTGTATAAGTTCTAATTCTGTAATAAATCTTTTATCCAATAACAGTCATAGTGGCTCTAGTTTTCTGATTAAACATTGCTTATCGTTATTGTTATCCACAAACTCAGCCACATGGAATTCCACTCTTCAAGGCTGATCTGACCATAGCCCATGCTGAGGGCCCAACCTACCAACAATGTGGACCAGGCTTGAGTGCCAAATATGGCAACATTCCCAGGGAAATCAGCCAGCCATCTGATAACTTTAGACCACTTCCGTCATGGAAAGGCAGTGCTTTGTTCTCCTTAGAATAAAAACTTACTCTGGCTAGGGATTTGCCTTCTTTGCTTCTTCCAAAATCACCATTTATGAACTTATTGAATGTCTTATTCATTATTCTATAGAGCATTGCTTCTGACAAAGGAATTCATTTTATAACAAATTAAGTGCAGCAATGCTCTTATGTTCATAGAATTTACTGGTATTACCATATTTCCCATCATGCTGAAGCAGCTGACCTGACAGAACTAAAGATTCAGTTATGGTTCCAGCTGGCTGGCAAAATTGAAAAGCTAGGGTAATGTCCTCCAGTATCTAGTATATACCCAAATGAGGGGCCAATATATGTTGTTGTTTTTCCCAAAGCAAAGATTTTCAGGTCTGGAAATCAAGGGAGGGGTATGGGAGTAAGTCCTTTCACAATTACCCTTAGTGGCCCCTTAGTGAAATTTTTGCTTCCCATCCCTTTAGTTCTGGGCTAAACTGGTTAAGAGTCCTTAGTTCCCAAGGCAGTAACGCTTCCACATGGGGATTCAACAAATCTATTAAACTGAGGCTACCACCTGGCTACTTTGGACTCTTTAATCTACTGAACCAACAAGCAAAAAGGGAGGTTACTGTACTGCAACCCAGCTATCAAGGGGAAATGAAGTTGTACTACACAATGGGTCAAGGAAGAGTGTATCTAGAATCAGAGCTCCTCCGGGGGTGCCAATTTGTATTCCTATAACCTGTGATAAAAACTAATTGAAAGCTACAACAAATCAAAACACTAAGATCTATTAATGTTCAAACCCTTCATGCATGAAAGTTTGGAGACCCTCGCCCAGCAAGGAACTATGACCCGCTGAGAAAAAAAGAAATGTGGAATAAATAGTGGAAGAATGAAGTGAGAAATACTGGATATAATCACATGACTAGTTGCAGAAATGCGGAATGTAGTAGTGTGAAATCTTTCCTTGCTTTACTATAAATATATTTGTATAGACAGATAGACAATTTAACCAATTTTTCTTCTATTCTCATACTATCTAACATAAGATGTGTTCACAGTGAATAACCTTACATCTCAGTATTTAAGTTACCGTCTATCAAAGTAGGAGTGTAACTCAGCCAGAAGAGGAATGAATGTCACCAAAAGGTGGATAAAGGGACAAAGATTTTGTGTATCTTCTTTCTGGGGGAGAGGTTGCATATTTTCAAATAATTGTATCATGTTAGACAGAAGCTTGATTTTGCTATTGTCTTTATTTGGAAATTAAATATGCTTAAAGAGGCATGTATAGATGCCAAGTTGACAAGGAATGAACTGTATTGACTTAGTTAACCTGGGAAGTACATTTCCCAGAATCCCCTTCTCTGTATGGTTCTAAGTAAGAAACAACCAAGGAACTTGCATGAGATCTGGAAGATAGAAAGGAAACAGTGGCTGTTACTCTCAGAAGATCTCTATGGTTAGATAGATGGTGATGGACAGGCCCAGGAGATCCCGGCAGGTGCCAGCTCCTCCTGACTCTCCTTTACTCTACCTCTAGCTCTTCTTCCTGTTGTCTGGCCCTGTTGACCAACAGCAGTGACAGACCTAATACATAGATGCTTGACTGTGGATCCACAGAGGTGGTAGTTACATAGAGGCAACAGATTTCCAGACCTTTCCACAAGCTTCCTTTGGGTGGTCCACTGGCTAGATGTGTTTGGCTTCTCAGATATTCCTGCAAACTCTGACTTGCCCACCTGCATCAGTGTTTCAGGAGGGATAGTTAGTGACTCATTATTTTCTGTTCCTTCAACCCCCCTTTCCAGACCTTTACCTCTGCTATTGTGTGAGGTCTAATTCCTACAATAAAGCCCTTATTTCATAGGGCTCAGTGATTGAGAGATTCATTGACTACCTAAAATTCTCCATGAATAACTTTCAAGATGTCCAACACCTAAGACCCTGAATATCCCTATATTTTCATAATAGCCCAGTCTGTTCTCTATGAAAAGAATCTAAGAACATTTTGCTCTCTTTCTGGAGATTGGTTACAAGGAGAAGGACAAAGAATACATACATTTTCTTTTATAAAAATTCCATATAATTTTGGATTTTTCATGTTAAGTTGCTAGTAATTGGAAGGATAGACAAGACATTTAATGTTTCATTGCACACCAGAGTCGGGAGTGCCAAAGACCTCCCTTAATCCATCTAACATAGTTATTATGACAAGTCAAAAATACAGTCAAGTAAATATCCTTGTTAGTGACAGTAACCGTTCCTTATGAAATGTATACTGTTATAGTGACTTACTTGATACTGAATGTCAGATTGTTTTTTCCTGAATATCAGGTACTACCCCCCAATCTGGTAATACCAATACTCGTGGCCTCAAAGGAGAGTGAACTTGCGTATCAGTGCTAATTATCAATCTCTTGGGGTAGAACAGGAAAGCACACCAAATCATGAGCAAAATGACTTATTTATAAAAAGGAGTCATCTCTGAAAAAGAGTAAAAACATTTCCAAAAACTCAAATAAATTCTTGGTTAGTCGAGTGCTTATTTCTGTTTGGAGTGTGGGTTACGGGGAATCAAATGCTTTTCCTGTGTATTTTATGGAATTACATTTCATGCTGTTTGATAGAATCTACAAGAGCTGCATTTGTCACGGTCCCAGTAAGAAACATATGGCACACGAGTAATAGTTTAATGGAGAGTCTGCTTACAGAGCTCAGGGCAGGGATAAAGGAATCCAGTGAGGCTTGGTGAAGCATCCCTGGGCTAGCAACAGTGGAGAACAAAGATCTAGGCCCAAAGAAGCAAGAGGAATAAGTGGTTTCAGGAACTTCGATTGCTGGAGGAAGCTGGAGGAGAGGGCCTGAGACAAGTCACTGCCAACCCACAGCCTAACAGAGAGCTCTGGGGAATAAATACCTTTGCTTCACTGTTTCCCATCCTCCCATCTCTGCCAGGGCCTCTCGTTGTCCAAACTCAATCATAAACCAGAGGTTAAGGGACTCTGGTTGGTGCAGTCTATAAAGATCAGCCTCCAGTGGCATATGGTATGGTGGAGAGTGCATGGAGGATCTAAGGGCAGCCAGAGAATGTCCATATAGGCTATTGCATCCAGATTTATATGGAAGAAAACTAGTCTTCTTCCAGATGTAACCACCATCTATTACATGTTATTAGGGATATCTTCCTGCCATGACATGCCTAAAAGGGCACTCTTCACTCAGTAGGATGCAGTCAAGCTCTTTATCTGTTGCAGATCACAGTTAGCAAAAAAGTAAGTATTCATTTGGGTGAAAAACACTTGGTTTGAATGTTTTGAAGTCTCTTGTCTTTTGACTTTTTTTTTCTTTTTCTAGGAAAGAGTTGCCCTGAGTTAACGTCTGTTGCCAATCTTCCTCTCTTTTTTTTTCCCTCCCCAAAGCCCCAGGACATAATTTTGTATTCTAGTTGTAAGTCCTTCTAATTCTTCTTTGTGAGCCGCCGGCACAACATGGCTACTGACAGACAAGTGGTGTGGTTCCGTGCTCAGGAACTGAATCCAGGCCACTGAAACAGTGTGCGCCAAACTTTAACCACTACGCCATCAAGGCTGGCTCTTGCATTTTGCCTTTTTTAAGAGCCATGAGGGCATAGATTTTTAATTTAGCTGCAGTGCATTAAAACTTACTGGCCTGTTTTGGGACTCCTACATTTGGGATGGCCCAGAAGAAAACATAGCAATTTTATTATCATTAGGAAAATTAACTGAGGAGCACAAAACCCATCAATGATGCCTTCACAGTGACTCTTGGTATTCGTAAATGACCACTAGAGTTTTCATTGAGTGTCACTGGATTTTAAATACCAAGTGATTCTAATCAGCATAACAATTCAAGCCATTTTAATCAGATAAATGATATTCAACAATCACAAAAAGTCTGTGGACTGGCTTGTGCTGAGAATTAACCAGGGTTTCCATATGATGGTGGGACTTGCAGCAGCCAGGCCTCATCTCCCTGCCCATCTGTTAGCAATAGCAGGCTGGGATTTCCTGTAGCAGAAAGCAGGAGCCTTGGCTTCTGTGTGTTACTAGAAATTGTATGCCACTGCTCTATCATTAAAGCTCTGGAGTAATTTCTTTTTCCTTGATGAAACTGCTTGGTTACTGTCCTCTCATGTCAGGTTTTAGCATCTTCTATCCATTTGATCTTTCTCCTACTTCATGCCTCTGAATAAGATCCTTATAGCCAGGGCCACCTTTATCTCCTTGCATATTCACAGCTTTATTTGATGAGTGGTTATAATAGGAAAATCCTGGTAAAGAGCAATTATTTCTCAAAATTTCTATCAAGGTCTCCTAATGCAGAGGAAAGAGAATTTGTATTTCTGGGATTAGGGGGAAGCTGGGGAAGAGAGAGAAGATGGGTGCAGCCCTTCGTAAACAGGAAATTCCTTTGAAGACTCATGTTTTATCAATAAAATTCGTCTGGATTTTTCATTCTATGTCATGATATCATGAAATGTAAAAATAATAGTTTCTGTAAATCTGAAAGAATGGCGGTTCCGTGAAGATGTGACATAGTTTTCTGTGGCCTCACACACTCCACCACACCACTGTGGAATGTCATCTGGGAAGCACAGATTTTTTACCTATAAAATTAGCCAAGATTAAACACATACACACACAGATGTGCACGTGCACAACTCCCAGGCTTATGAGGGTTATTGACTGGTGGGAAATAAACTGTCTGGGAGAAAATTTACCAAGACCAGTCAAACACTCACATACTTTGAGCCAGCAATTCAACATTAGGAATTTATCCTCAGAAATTAATCATGGATGTGAACAGATAGAGCTACAGAGGTGTTTGTTGCAGGGGCAACAAAATCAGAGAGAACATAAATGTACAACAGAGGTGAATTTGTTTAATAAATTATGGTATATCCAAATGAGGGCTGCGGTACTAGGTATATGTTAGCTGATTGCCCAGCACTCATTTCCCCTTTCGCCGTCCTAATAACATCCAGATTTTATTTAGGGCATTTTTCCCCAGCACCCAGACCATATACTTCAGGAGATGACCAAACCCTCTGCTTAAGAAATTAACCCTGATCGGGCCGGCCCGTGGCTTAGCGGTTAGGTGCGTGCGCTCCGCTGCTGGCGGCAGGGGTTCGGATCCCTGGCGCACACTGACGAGCCGCTTCTCCGGCCGTGCTGGGGCCGCGTCCCACGTGCAGCAGCTAGAAGGATGTGCAGCTATGACATACAACTATCTACTGGGGCTTTGGAGGAAAATAAATAAATAAATAAAATTAAAAAAAAAAGAAATTAACCCTGATTGATTAAGCCCATCAGGATACGCCCATTTCTTGCACTAGTTATTGGTTCAGGGAAAGAGGCCCAAATCAATTAGCACAAGGCATTCCCTACAGTGCCTTCTTCTAGGATCGACTTTACCTCTATTTTATGCTTTTGCAATTTGGGAGGCTAGAAGGCTAAACAGTGCGTGTTCAAAACTCCTTATGGAGTGTCACAAGGCCATCAGCTGGAGTTCACATTGGAAAACGTACCCGGGAAGACACCCTAAGAAGGATCCACTAACACACAACTGAATGAGTAATGTGGACTTTTGTTGATGACCTACTATTTAAAATGGTAGGATAGAGTCAAGATGGCGGCGTAGGCAGACTCGGAACTCACCTCCTCCCGTGGACACAGCCAATTTACAACTATTCGTGGAAAAATTACCCCTGAGACAGAACTGAAAACTGGATGAGAGGAACTCCTGCAACAAACGACAATCCTAACTGGGGTAGAAGAGGCAGAGACTCCCTTC